TCTCATCCTTCTCTCGTCTCATCCTTCTCTCGTCTCATCCTTCTCTCATCTTTCTCTCCTCTCATCTCATCTTTCTCTCATCTCATCTTTCTCTCATCTCATCTTTCTCTCATCTCATCTTTCTCTCATCTCATCCTTCTCTCGTCTCATCTTTCTCTCCTCTCATCTCATCTTTCTCTCATCTCATCTTTCTCTCATCTCATCTTTCTCTCGTCACAGCCTGCCCAACCTCTCCAGAACCAGACTGACTGGTCCAAACAGAACCAAGCATCAGTCCTGAGCTCTAGAGAACAGAGTAGGTTGTTTATGTTGACCCAAAGGTAAGCAGGTTCCAGCCACAGAAAACCTCTGGAGTCCAGTTAGACCCAGAATTATAGACAGAACAATCTGCAGCAAAAAGTAAAGAATCAGGGGAAAAAATAATGTGGTATAAATGTTTTAATCTCACAAAATGTGATTCTGTCTCCAGTAATCCAGGGTCTCCAACCTGATTTACATGTTGGAGTCCCTGGATTACTGGAGACAGAATCACATTTTGCTTTGGCCTCTTTCTGCCAAAATAATGACAAGAGATTCAGATCTGACTGATCCTGAACATGACAGAAAAAATAGGACAAAATAGGGAAATGTGATGTGTCTGTCTTATTTTTTGGTCTTCATAAAAGGATTTATAGCATTATTGTAACACCTCATAATTCAAAAAACGCCTGAGGAAATGTTTGTATTTCAATAGAAATGCAGCATATATAACTTTGTGTTTTGCGAAATATGTACATATGTTTATGAATATTAGTGTTTGTTTTCATTCTACTTTATTAAAACAATCCATATTGAATATTTCTGGTTTTCACAGTTAAAAAAACATTTTTTTCTACTCAGATTTTAAGAAATTTTATTGATTTTTATGTCTGCTGTGTTTATACAGTAGGTCTAAAGTAAAGATGACTTCACACATGGGAGATTGTTCTGAACAAAATGACTCCAAATAAAGCAGGAATAAACCTTTTTATAGCTGAAATATGAAAGTAACATCAAAATAGTTTAAAAAATGTCCAATTTTACTAGAGGATTGAAAGGTAAAATATAATAATATTTGTTGTGTTACATTCTGCAGTGTTTTATATACCATTAATGAACACCCCACAAAACTGTTGGCTTTGAGTAGCCATGGCCCCTGGAGTGATTTAGTTGAATAGCCCTGCTATAGATGTTACACTTGAATAATTCTGATAAATCACAAAATTGGAAACTTTCCATGAAAATTAATGGGAGTTTTGGGGAATAATGGAAATAAACCTGGAATTTACCATTTTAATGAAAAGCACTTGACAGAAATTATATAGAAAAATATAAATAAAAATTATAAAAACATGTAAATTGTCTTGTTCAGAGTTAAAAGTAGTAAATTCAGTTTACTAGAATTTGTTTTGTTTTTAGGTCAATTCAATTTTCAATTTTTTCAATTATTGTGTTTATTTCACATTCATAAAACAATAAAAATAATCTATAAAAACAAGTCATACAAAATCAAAAATAAAAAGGAAACAAACAAAACAAACAAAAAATACAATAAAATCATGCATGAAAAGGAGCAGAAAGAAGTATAAACTTATATCTGCCCCTATTCACTAAAAAATAAAATCAATTCCAAACAAGTCCACTGTCAGCATACAGAAAAAAAGAAAAACAAAAGAACCCCCTGAACACAAAATACAAACAGAACATCATCTTAATCAGTTATATAACACTTCAACATAATAATTTTCAAGTTGTTTTTAAACACAAATAAAGATTTAGACTGTAAATAATAATTATGTAAATAAAACCACAAAAAGCACAAAATAATGATCAAATACTACATAAATGTGGACATGTTTTTGTACATAATTGCAGACGTACATTTTTTGTTGTCTACAGTTTACTTAATTTTCCAGCTTTCAGTTTGGAATATTTCTGGAATTGTTTAATTTAGATTTATCAAATTGTTGTACCCATTTGCAACCCTAATAAGACCAAATCTGGTTGACTCTCAAAATTAGATTTTTTTTACTACATTTATTCAACTTTAATCTGGGCCAGCATCAAAATGTGTTTCTGATCTTTATTATTTATTCCAGACTTGCTGTTCTCCAACCCATACATTTAACCCAGCATTTTGTCTTATTTTTCTGATGTTTTAACTTGTATTGCATACAGCCTGAGCTGAGTCCATCCCTACGACTATCGTTCTGTTATATTAGTTGTTGCTTTCACTTTGAACCTGCTGAAATGTTGATTTTGTTATTCTCCTGAATAATTTCTATATATTTTCCTTTCTGTGTATCAGAGGGTTTTTTACCCTCTGATTTGTAGTTTGTCTGTTTTTCTGTTTTAGTGAATGTTTGCTCCTTTTTTAAATCCTCTTTTCTTTCTCCACTCTCCTCTAATCTGTTTCATAATGTCCACTGCTGTTAATTTTCACCTTGTTTTTATTTTTTTCTTCATTCGACCCCCTCCACTGCCTCCTGCGATTTGGTGCTGCATTGTGGTTGTGGTTTTGACGGTGGTTGTGTCATCCTGGATCCTTGCTCCTGACCCCCGCTCCCTCATGTGACGCCTGCCCTTTGACCTTTGTGTTCCGTACCCCTCCCCCCCCTGCGTGGTGTATGCCCGTGGTCGCCTGCTCGTGTTGCTCTGGTGCTCGGGTGATGATCCCTGCTGTCTCCTGATGTACTTTTTAAACCACACGTCGACTATTACTCCCAAACCACCGCCACCCTCATGATGACCCGTCCCTTTACTGCCAAATACCAACCCTGATCCGTTCCCCTTTGCCATGGATGCTCCTCACCTCCCAGTCTGCTAGCTGCAAAAGTGTCAAAGGCAGCCCCTGTAGCCAATAACAGCAGCTCTCCAGTTAAAGAGCTAAGGGACCTTTCAGCCATGGATGCTTTCCGCTCCCGCAGCATCAGCGTCTCCGAACACGCGGTTCGCAGGTTAGAGAAGAACCTACTTGGTAACAAAAAAAAAAACAAAAAAAAAAAAAACCCCAGTAACAACCTAAACACTTCCTACTTCTTCCATTGGGGGGTCATTGTCATGCGGGTTTGTTTGGGCGGTTTTTAATGAGGTTTGTTAGAGAGGGAGGTGCATGCTGGAGGATGGTGTGATGATTGTTTTGGTTTGTTTGTTTGTCTGTTTGTTGGCCGTACATGCGCTGATTTTAGTTGTATGATTTACTTCTGCATGCAGTGCTTCTTGAAACACATTGAAAAACATCTTGAACCACATCAATGTTTTTCTGTTTGTTTTTGCTGCAACACAGATCTCACCTTGGATCTTAAATTGTACTCTTCGTCTTTGCTTGAATTAGTTTTTTTGTTTGTTTTGCTGGATCTGTTTGCAGCGGTTTTTGAGTGGCGTAACATCAAATAGATGCCAGGAGCCACTGTTTTTTTTTAAGCATGTGTGTGTTTTGAAATAGGCTTGGGATCTTTTATTTTTTCCTTGAACAAAACTAAAACCCCCAAATTTGGGGCTGTTTCTCTTGGTGGACACCTCCTGCTTCTTTGGCCAGTGAGACACAACAGCAACACAACAGCTTTGTTTGCTTGCTCAGCATCTCTCTTTTTTTTTGGCTTCATTGAAACATCCACTTCGCTGCTATGACCATGGCAATCTCTTAAAGTGGGACTAGTTGGGCTGAACTGGAGTTTTGATAAATTTGATCAGCAGATTCAAATCATCCACATCAACACCACACACACACACACACACTCTCTGCCTTTGTTTCTGCTCGTGTGTGCTTGGCTGTGTGTTACAGAAGTAGATTGAACTTTGCAGTTGTCACATGGTTGCAAAGCCACTGTCCTTCAGTGTCGTACCTTCGTTGCTCAACAGGAGGCAGCAAAAGCTTTACCTTGTATCTTTTATTTGACGTCAAACCTAAAACTACTTGACAACAAACAACTGCAATGTAGATCTCTTCAGCCTGCTTTTTCAAGTAGCTGCAAACTTCACTTTTTCAGATTTCGTACCTCTTTTAATGAGCACTACTCCCATCCTAAACAACATGACCATGTTTTTTTAGACTTTATTGTGACTTCTTTAAAAAAATACTCTGAAGATAGATTTGATTGGCTTTAATGTTAATGTTAATGGTGTGAAGATGCAGTGAGCACACGTTTTTACAGTTGTGAGTGTTTCATGGTCACGTTTTTATGGAGTGTGTGTTTAATACACACTGGGAAAACAAACAAAATAAAAGAACAATTCAGTCGACACATACAAAGGTAAGTGTAAAGTCTGAAGAATTGTTTTTAAATCACCGTCTTGGACCTGGTCTGAGTGAGATTTTTTTTCTTTTCTATTTTAAAGTTTAAATCAATCTTGACAGATGTTTTACATCTGATAAAGATGTTTCCATTTTCGTAACATGCCTGAATCTGATGTTATCTATAATTTAAAGATTTTCTTGTCAGTGTGGCTCTTCTCAAGCTAATCTAGCTGATTAAACCATTAAGTTTAACATGTTCCTGTATTGAAGAGTTGCAGAACAAAAATCAGATAAAATGTTTTACCTTAATAAATGCCATAGCCTTATTTATGTAGCCATTACTTTCTGACAAGTTTTAGTCAATATTTATAAGTTATCGTATTGTTTAAATGTGACCAGGTTGCAGGGTTTTTTTATAATTACTCATTGTGATGAGCAGAGACACCTCAGTGTGGCTAGTCAGGCTACAACTTTTAATTTATTCTCTGTAGTGCTGATGGAGACGGGCAGTAACTTTGGTTCCTATGTGCTCAAAATCAGCAAGAATCCACGAATACAAATAGGTTGTGTTACTTCAACTTTAAACAACTTTAAACCAGCTTCAACCTGGATGTTTTATATCAGAATATGTTTCAAAACTTATTTTATCTGAAGAATGGTCATAGAAACATTTACATTTGGAGAGTGAACAAAAAGAGCCTCTGAGGTTACTTTGACCAGGGGTTCTTAACCTTTTTGACCTCTGGGCCCAATTTATTGAACATAAAGAGGCACGAGGCCCAGTCAGACATAACCAATGTACGGATCAAAATGATAATTATTCTAAATCTTGATTTAATTTGTATTTGCATTATAACTAAATTAAATACACTTACAGTATAAAAGTAAAACTCCTGTCAAATAATCACAAGACATGATTATGACAAACATTTTTTTTATATTGTAACCTGCCCATAACAATTATTTGAACAAATACAACAGTCAGCTAACAGACCACTCAGGCTTATCAACAATAACAAAAATAGACAATTCAATAAATAAAATTGTGGTCATAAAATAAACATGTTCAAAATGTTTAATGTAAATGTTTCAAATAAAAAAACTGTAAAAATAAATTTGATAAAGTACAAATGAAAATAAAGCCTTTTTAAACTTTTGCATAGTAGAACCAGAAGCTGCTCTTCATATTAGTGACAAACAATAACAG